TTGTCATCACTTTCTTCCCAAGAAGCAGGCGTCTTTTAATTTCGTGGCTGCTGTCACCATCTGCGGTAATCATGGAGCCCAATAAAGTAAAATGTGTCACTGCCTCCATATCTTCCCCTTCTATTTGCCAGGAGGTGATGGGACCAGTGGGCATGATCATAGTTTTTTTGATGTTGAGCTTCAGACCTTTTTTTGCACTCTCCTCTTTCACCATTACAAGGTTCCTTAATTCCTCCTCACTTTCTGCCATCAGAGTGGTATTATCTGCATATCGAAGGTTGTTGATATTTCTTCTGGCAATCTTAATTCTGGCTTGCGATTCCTCCAGTCCAGCCTTTTGCATGATGTATTCTGCATATAAGTTAAATAAGCCGGGGGACAATATAAAGCCTTGTCGTACTCCTTTCCCAATTTTAAACCAATCAGTTGTTCCATATCCAGTTCTAACTGTTGCTTCCTGTCCCGCATATAGGTTTCTCAGGACTACATAAAAATCTATGTTATGTGCACATAAAATAGCACATAAAAATAGCTACAGTATGTTTATCCATCCACCCAACATTAGAATAATTTCAGGCAGATTTATAATTGAGCCATGAGTAAGAAAAATGCCATATATGTGAGGCAAGATGCTTAATTTAAGTAGAAGGAAAAATGCTTGGATTAGCAGTAACCTAAACTAAATATTTACAAGCTATAACCACAATCTGACCTTGCAAAGCAGTAGATTTTAGCCAACCTATGTCAGTTTCTAAAAAACACTCATTAGTTTTGTTCTTATGGTAGTAGTTTTAAAAGACCTTGCATTTAGTTGCATTTTTATCTGTTTGTACTGTTGATAAGGATTTATTGTACAAATGATTCAGAAAGTTGAGCCGTTCTGACCTAGAACAGACTCTCTCTATGATTCTTACCCTAGTTTCCTGTATTTTATTTTTGGCAAGGTATTGTATATAGGGTAGTTTGCTGGATAGCTCAGTGTTTCAGATACAGTATCTGGCTGCGGAGTGAGAGATCGAGTTTCATTCCTCACAGTGCCTGCACAGCCTGTGTGGCCTTGGGCAAGCTGCATAGTGCTAGGGCACCCCAAGCAGAAGGGAATGGTAAACCACTGTTGTGTATTCTGTACTAGAAAAATCAGGAAAAGGTCACCATAACTAGACCGCAAGTACAGTGGTGCCCTGCATAGCGACTTTAATCCATTCCAGAATTCACGTCGCTATCCGGATTCGTCGCTATTCAGTGGGGAAATCCCATAGGAATGCATTAGACTCTGTTTAATGCGTTCCTAGTGGGGAAAAACTCATCGGTAAGCGAAGATTCCCCCGTCCGGCGGCCATTTTCGCTGCCCGGTAAACGAGGGCAGGGCGCAAAAACGCTGTGGGCGGCCATTTTCTGCACCGAATGGCCATTTTGGAACCGCCGATCAACTGTTTTCTAAACATCTCAATGCGAAGATCGGTAAACGAAACGCTTACCGATCATCACAATGCGATGTTTAGCTTATCTAAACATTGCAATGCGATCGCATTAGCGATCGCAAAAAATGCATCGCTATGTGGATTCATTGTTAAACGGTGCACTCGTTAAGCGAGGCACTACTGTATTAGGAGGAGGTCTGAGCTCCAAGGGCTCCTAGATGAAACAGATTATCCAAATCCATTCAATGTAAATTAGATGCCTCGTTATTGCTGTTTTATATCCTTTTAAAAGTTTTTAAAATGTTTTTGTTTTTAAATTGTTTTAAAAGGAGTGTTTTAGAACTCCTATGCTTTTCAGTTTCTATTTGTTTTAACTATGTGTGAGTCTGCTGTTGCCACACATACAGGAATGCTTCTTGTATGTGTACAGTTACCACAGACATGTTTCCAGCCGGCCTGCTTCCCCTTTCTTGAGAAACAAGTCCAAATTTAGAACTTCCTCCCACGCATGCAATTTCTTGCTGAAATAGAAACGTTATCTCTTGCAACTCTTTGCAGATTTGTATCAGCCTCACCATCCCATCTTTTTAGGCATAGGGTGCTGGTCTTTTTGGAACCCACACATTCTGTCACTCATAACAGCTTTAATCCCACACCGATAAAATTCAGCATAAAAATTAATTCATTAACTCTTTTGTGTTTTGTTTGTTTGTTTGTTTGTATGTTTGTATGTATGTATGTATGTATGGTATGTGGGAGGGAGGGAGGGAGGTACGTACGTATGCATTTTTTTATTTATTTATTTACATTTCAATCCTGCCCACGTACTATAGGCTACTACTCTGGGCAGCAAACAGAAGGGCACATGTGTAGGCATCCTTCAGTCTCAAGAGACTATGGTATCTAAAGCATTACTTTGGAAGCCCTCCTAAGGTTCTGATATGATGTCATAGCATACACACAACAGGGCTTTCAGGGTAAGTGAGATAATTAGTGGTTTTACCAATTCCACACCAAGGAGTTTCCATGACCTGTTCTCCAGACACCTAGTCCATCACATGAACACTATTACACCACATTGGAGAATAGCTTTGAGAAAAGATGAATGAGAAATATGATGAAATAGGACTACTCTGTATTCCAGTTTACTCTAATCTGAGTAGGGAATCAAATCCCAAAAATGTAGTGCTTAGTGATATACAGTGGTGCCTTGACTTACAAACACCCCTACCTACGAAAATTTCAAGTTACAAAAAGCTCTGGCCGCAAAATTTTGCTTCGACTTGCAGCGGGAGTTTCGGCCTAAGAACAGAAAAACGCAGGGGAAAAGGGCAGGAAATTCAAACCGTTGGTGGCGAAGAGGCTGGG